ACCTCAGGGATCACACTCACTTCGATTTTCGTTACTTGAACTTTTTGATTAATATATATATATGCTTTTATATTGCGAACTGATGCGGAGAAGGGCAAGCCGAAAAAATTCTTGAGATTAACTGCATGTCCGCGCTCTCAGCTCATGAATTTTAAAGGCTCGTTAATTTTTTGCTCCTTCTCCCTTCTGGATGGTGGGAATTTCTTTAAGCAATCAAAAAATTTTTACTATTCCCTTCTTAGGGATCAAGGAGTTAGATTTTTAGGAAGAGAGGGTGTCTTAGACCTCTAATTGGTTAAGCCCTTTTTCTTAAGGTTTGACTTCACCATCCAGTAGAGAGTGGGAGCGACCTGATTTCCTTATCTCCTACGATTTGATTGAGAATGGCCTATTGATCCAGCGCACGTGCGATATTAATTTTATGGCTCTGCTCATATTTACCTTTTGGTCAATTTCCCGATCACCAAGGCTCTTATTTCAAAGTCTCTGAGACGACCCATTGATACGCATGGATTGAATTTCTTATATTTCCGAGGCTCGTAAATTAAAATTTTTATTTAAATTTTCTTAGCGCTATCTCGACTGGCCACTCTGCTTGTTTATCCGAGTTGGGTTTTCTTTATTTTAAATTCAACCCAATCGTTGATTACTTCTAAGAAACATTTCGATGAAAGAACAGAATCGTGAAGTCCATCGGACGTAACAATTTACTTGCGAATTTTTATAAGATAAATCGCGATATAAAATTCGCGATAAAACGCGACGAATAAATAAATAAATGGATAATATTCAGAATATTCAATTGCAAATATACGCGAGTGACATACCGGTAATCCGATAAAAAAAGGAGCGATTTTAAAAATGGAGAACGATTAACATCTTATTTCTACATCAGATTTCACAAGATCAATCTGCGAAGAAAAGTTAAGTGATCCATTGAACGTCGGAAAATTCACTGTAGAAGAGAATAAATCCTGGATCTTCCGGACTATTCCCGATAGCAATGATTTTAGTAATAAATCAACGACAATTATCCCTCGTCATTATCTTCAATTCACGAAATCGATGTACACATCAGAAAACATGTTCTTTCATTACTAAGAAATATATTTCTTTATTAAAATTAAGTTGACATAACCTTTGTTATTGAAATGTGATTACGAACGATTATATTAATAAATAATAAAATACATGCATTATTGGAGTTTGTGTTAAATGTGCGAACACATATAATTTGGAGTACCGTTTGTGCGCGCGAGACGAATCGAATCCGATATCAGTAAGATTTAAAAAAATTTAATTCAAACATTCTGCAAAATAAAATTAATCAAATAATTTTAAACGATTAATTCTAGATTAATTTACTAGATTCTTATTCTTATAACGTTTAAATTAATAATTTTTTTTCTTTAAATCAATATCTTACTGATATAGGGATATCCATTCGATTTATCTCGAAATTTTTAAGTATTCGCACATTTTATGTAACATTTATGTATAATTTAACTTATATATATATATATAACATTATTACAAATTATAAAAATATTTTGGATACGTGAATTTGTGCATGTATTTTATTATATGTGCATATATATAAAATGGTATATACCTAAATGGTATATACCTAAATGGTATATACCTAAAAACTAATATTTCAAAATGGCGATGGACATCCAATACCTGCAAATAGTTTCTTAAAAGAAACTAAAAATTAATGTTAATATCCCCAGCACCTAAAAATAATTTTTCAAAAGAGACAAATTATATTAATTAAAAATATATTCGTTTGTAATCATTTTTATCAAAAAAATTATACAAATTACTTACAATATGAAATTACTTGAAAAATTAAAATTTATACACAACGCTATATCCATATTTAATCTACTATTAAATCTTTCTGGCATTATATATATAGACAATAACATTATCAATAATGATAAAACATTTTTAAAAAAGAAAAGAAAAGATACATTTCTCTCGTCTATATATATATATATATATATATATATATATATATATATATATATATATATATAATTTAATTCGACGTTAAAGAAGCGTATCATCATTGAATTACTATCGAAATCATTGCTTTCGGAAGTTGCCAGGAAAATCTGGAATTAGTTCCTTCAATCTTACAATAAAAATTCCCAAATTTTAACAGGGTATCGGACTAGACTTCGGAAATGGATCTCACAAGAACCGATGAGAAATAATTTTCCATGATAAAAGTCGTTTCGACTCCTCGGCGGTACGAGCCACGCAACTTTCATTAACATTTATTTAACGGAAGGAACAATGATAACTCTTTTGTCTAGTAACGCGAAAAAGAACGCGAGTAAAACACGGTGTTTGGCAATGATAATTTATTAATTTATTTATGAAAATTTTTCGGCTATATTATTCGCGTGACGACACTCAAAGAGTAAATTAATGGTGCTCCGTTAAATTCCTTTTCTAGACGCGATCGCAATCGATATTGAAAAATTATTTGCTGTATTAAAATACTCTTATATATTTCAATATGACGAATGGACAATAACCCTGTTCGGTCTTGATGATGTAAACAACGCGCTGGTGTTCATGTCATACAGCCTTGGTATCATTCACACAGCGACACTCGAATAATAAAGATATAGTAGTACGAAATACGTATATATTGTTAAATTAATTATTAGTTAAACGATTATTGTATCATGACTTTAAATTATATTAAACTTTCGAACGTATAATTCGTATTAATATACATGTACCGTATATATATAAAATTAATTATTATTTATGTATATTATTTTCAAAATAGATATTATGCTTATTATTTTTTCATTTTCTCGATAGTATATATAATTCGTACTAAAAATCATATAATGCATGTATAAAATATTCCAGGTTTAACTTTAACACATTTAAAGTATCTATAATAAAGCATCTATAATATTTTTGTTATTAATTAATACTTTTATATAGAAATATTTTAATATTTTAGAAAATATTTTTAAAATAATATAATTATTTAAATATTTCGTATATAAAAATTAGCATACTCTCTTTATTTTTAATTACATTTTTTTTAAATTTATAATAAAAGAAAATATTTTTTTGCTAGTTTTACATTTAAAGTATTAATACCAGAGATAAAAGATCAAACAATTGATTGCGCGTAATAATTAGTTTTACAAAATGAATTATTTTGTGTTTTATAAAAAATAGATCTATAAAGAGTATTAATTGATTATACTTGATTATACTATTTAATTTTTGACATATTGTTTTAAAAATAGAAGTGTGTGACAAGAATTAAAATTATAAATTATCGTTTTATTGTGATCTTTATAAGAATAATTGTTTCTTTAACAATACTTAAAAATTAAGTGTATTTATTCGATGTTTTATCTCTCTCTCTCCATCTCTCTCCCTTCCTCTCTGCCCCCCTCTCCCCCCCCTCTCTCTCACTCAACTTTCTAACAATCTAAATACAATTCAAATCGAGAACGCGTGATAAAATAATCGAATGATAAAGTCACGTAGTTAAAGTTTTGCGAGGTATATTAATCGTTTAATGAATAATTAATTTATACTATAAAATATTCGTATAATTTAATTTATTCCACGCATATATACATAAATTATCAATAAGACGATGTTTGACTTTGACAATATAAACAGCAGCGCACTATTATTAATATGTTACGTAATGTTATTAATATGTTAGGTATGTAATCTATCATTTTTTTATCCACTTGTTTATTTATATTATATATGTATATACATATATATATATATATATATATATACATATGTATGTACATGTATATAAATAGCACACATATATAATACAATTTCATCGAAGATAACTAGTATGTGTATAAGAACGGAAAATGTGACAATTTTCATTTAATTTTCGATTTGTATTGACCAAATTTTAAATAATTATTTTATTTTATAGAAGCTAATTTATATATTAGAAGCTAATTTATATATATGTACACATATATTAATTTTATTCAAGGTTTTCTTACTTTATTATTCTATTAAAAAATCTGTTATTTATATTTTTATATAATTTAACACAAATTATAAAATCTTGTAAAATATTCAGCATTCGATTATTTTATCTCTACATTTTTTTACAAAATAATAAAAGTAATCAATTGGTATAAAGAAAATACACAATTAAGAAAAGTTTTTAAGAAAAAGTATGCGGATGCACATTGCAAATTCATTTTTTTTTTTAAATTAAGAGAGAGGAACAAATACATATAATATTGTTCTTATTAGATAAACTCTTTCTGCAATAGTTTGCTTTTCTAATTAATATTTCCTATAATTGATATTTTTCTGTAGAAAAATTATGATGATATTGTTTAAGAACTTGTTCATTGTGATGCACTTGTTCAAGACTGTAACAATTGTTGCTCATCGAAATTGTAAAAACAAATCTACGATTCTGACAGAATCGTTTTAGCAGCAGTCGTATGATCGTCTTCTTACACATAAATATGATGGAACCGATATCTTGAATGATGTCCATTATATAAATACTAATAAGGTCAAAATATGTTGGAACAATTTTATACAGCTAAATGTTTGATATTGTTAATGAAATCGATTTTAAGGCCATTAAGGGAAACAACATGATAAACAGTTTCAGATATAGCTTGAATCTGTAAGTAAATATATGTTAAAATTATAATATTTCTTAAATATTTCTTAAAATTATGATATAATTGTTATTAAAATTGTTATAAATGAACATATTCCAAGTAACTAATACGTCATAAAAATAAATATTTGCCGCAGAAAAACTATAGTTATTTTATTTAAAAAAAAATTTCTTTTAGGGAAATCTTCATGCTAAGTGTTTCTCATTTTTTATTTAATTCTTCGTGTTTCTCTCAACTAGCAACCAGTCAATGCTGTATCATAAGACGAGGGCGTTGTAGTAGGAAGTGGGAAGCGATTAGCGGCGCGATTAGTGCGCGATATAGTGCGAAGGAAGACAGTCAGAGAACATATTGCGTGCAAGTTTTATTCTTTAATTTAACATAACATCACAAAAATGATTTGTGTCAATTATTAACAATAGAATAAAGTGTAGAGTAAAATTAATCATTGTGGAATGACATTTATTGGAACACTTTCACAAATTTTCTACACAAAATTTGGTCCTTCGAGTCGAATATTTCGGCTATGAACAAATAACAAAAAGCTGCAGATCAAAGAGCAATAGTGTGTAATCCGCAATCAACGGGACAATTGCGCTATTTGTGAAAATTCTGATATTTCCCATTACGCAGTCCAAAACACAGGAAGGTAAGAGAGAACTTACTATTAATAACCACCATTTATATTTACGAATATATCATTGTAAACAACGTTAAAAATATCTGTTTCAGAATTTTTTTGAGCTTAAACCATATTAGCCATATTCTTTCGAAACGACTCTTCAGTTCAACGAAACAAAGAGCAGGTTATTGGATGTCTAACGTGTATCCTCACACACACACATTTCATCAGGAGCTGCAAACATCTCTCTTAATTTAATAAACACACCAACCGAAAAGGAAAACTTTATCGTACCAATCCTTTAACGGAATAGCCTAAGTGTTTATTATACATTATAAATCGGTAACGTATAATCATGGCGAATATGGAAGCGATAACTAGACTTAAGCGAGCGCGCGGTGCAACAAAGGGTCAATTGACGCGTGCGTATAATTGGATTCGAGCTTTCAACGTGCGAGATCATGCAATCGAAGAAGTCGAGATTCGATTATTCGTAATTGAAAAAGCTTGGATGGATTTTCGCGAAAAGCAAGACGCGCTCATAAATCTCGATCCCGCGTTTGAGAACGATGGTGAATTGGAGGCGGTTGAGGTTGATTATTATGCAGCAACCGCGGCCGCGTCAGCAATTATCGCCACAAAACAACAACAAGCCAATCAACTTCAAAATACTGTCCTGAATTTCCAAAACACAAGTAATCGAGTCAATCCGATAAATGAAATAAAGCTCCTGCCGATAAATTTACCATCGTTCAATGGATCTTATGATCAATGGCCGAATTTTCGTGATACATTTAAAGCTATAGTCGACGAAAATAAAAATTTCTCGGATATTAAGAAACTGTATTATTTGAGATTGGCACTGAAAGGTGTAGCTGCCAAAATCATTGCGTCAATAGAGATGTCTGCCGAAAATTATCAAGTCGCGTGGAAGCTTCTTGAAGGACGTTACGAAAATAAACGTGTACTTGTTCATCATCACTTACAAGCATTAATCAAATTCCCTGCGATCCAAAAAGAATCTCATTCATCGTTGCGTCAACTACTGGTTACAACGGAAAAGCACGTTCGCGCTCTTAAAAAACTCGGTCAACCCACAGACCAGTGGAGCACTATTCTTGTGCATTTAATGACTGCAAAATTTGATAATATCACGAAGCGTGATTGGGAAAGCAAGACTTCTTCGAAGGAGATCGCAACGTATGATCAATTCATTGAGTTTACAAAGAGTAGATGTGTCATGCTAGAAACAATGCATCTCAATAAGCCTCAAAGAGACAAATCGTCAAACAATATCATCAACAAGACTAATACATTAAACAAGAAAACAATTGCTGCAGTTTCTATTGAGTCCAAACCGGACATATGCGTAATTTGTAAGGAAGGAAATCACAAAATTTATCAGTGCCCATTCCTTAAGTCAACTCCTCAAGCTAGAAGCAAGGAAGTGAAAAAGTTGAAGGTCCGTTCAAATTGCATGAAAGCCAGACACACTCCCGAAATATGCGGATCCAGCCCCTATCGTTTATGCCATAAAAAACACAATACGTTCTTACATTTCAATAAAAACTAGTATAAAATTAGGTAAGGTATAATACGACATCAGGTTATATCAATGAATCGGAAAATTTATCAGAATCTTTTCAAAACGTATAACACTATTAAGACTTGAAGCAGAGTGGTCACACATCTGAAAAGACAATCTGGCTGACATTCTATCCAGAGACACGCAGAAAGTCTCAAGAATTTTCAACTATAATGGACCAAGCTTAACTTCAGATCGTCAAGAATGACCTAATAAATTTGCTTCGATATCGAATAAACAAATCCCGGAAATCAAAAGCCACACCAATATCTTTCACTCCACTTCCTCAAGACTTGAGTTATTCATCAAACTTTCTTTTTCTCGTTTTAAATGTGTCGCCGCATATTGTCTACGATTCAAGAACAACATACTTAACAAATCAACGAGAAAGACTGGATTCTTATCAGTGGAAGAATTAACGAAACCACAATATTACTCATACAAATTGTTCACTCCAAAGAATTTGCAGCAGAAAAATCTAATCTAAAAAAGAAGCAAGAAGTGCATAATAGAAGTAAACTTATCACTTTAACTCCATTCCCCGATTCAAAAAGTATAATTTGCATAAGTGGTAAACCTGATCATGCCAATATAGAATTTTCGCAACGCTATCCTATAATATTACCTACAAAACATCCATTCACAAAATTAATTATTTAAGATGCGCATCTTCGGCAATTAAATCTTGGATCACAAGGTCTTTTAGCTCACTTGCATCAAGCATTGGATTATTTCAGGACGACAGGCTATTCGTGTTCCCCGAAATTGACGTTTATTCCTCCGTATTCTCCACATATGGGAGGGCTCTGGGAAGCCACAATTCGGCAAAGACTCATCTAGAAAAGATTGTAGATATTACATTACTAACCTTTGAAGAACTTAGCACGATTATCGCTCAAATTGAGGCAATATTGAATTCACTATGTCTAATTTCAGATGATTCTCAAGACTATTCCGTGCTTATATCTGGACATTTCATTATCGGCGAATCATTAAATTCATTTTCAGAGCCCGACCTAAGCGATGTAAAAAAAATATACAAAAAATATACAAAACATATACTTTTGCTTATAATTTTCACAAATAAATTAATAATGTCATTAATAATTATATTAATAATGATATATACTCACTAGTATACCAACGTAATGGACTAAATTTCCTTCTCCAATAATACAGTACAGTTAGAATCCGTAACAATATAGAAGATACTGAGAATGATAGGACTTCCCCAAGCAAAGATAGAATATATAAGCTTCTTTCTGCTTTGCGATTTCATATTTTTTTATAACGAACGAAAATCTTTGCGAAATATAATTTACATTTTACATTTAGACAGTTAACAAGTAACAAAAATTAAGATACACAAATATTAAAATTTAAATTTAAAAAAAATATGCTTTTGGTTTAAGTTATTAAAAATTTATCCCATATATATAATTAAAAAATGATTTATTTACAACCTTTCGACACATAAATTATCATATGTTGAACATATATTGACGTGTATTTAACTAATATGATATCAATTTTGATTTAGCAAAAGGTTTCATTAAAAAATTAAGAATCCGCTTTTGATAAAGAAAAGAAGTCTTGTATAAATTGTATTGTATAAAAAAAATTAAAATAATATTAGTTTAAAATTGGAAGATGTTACAAAAAAGGAAAATTGCAAAAGTGTTTTATTATATTATAAATTATTTTACAATCTCTAATATAATTTTCTTAATAATTCAAAATGTTATTTTAATAATATTTCTCTTTTAATTAGTTTCATATGCAGTTTTATAAAATGAGAAGCAATTTTCTGTTTTAAAAACAGAAGATTAATAGAAATTATCAATAAAAATGTATATGAATAAGTTAGAGAATAACTAAAATTTTTATTTCTTAAATGAAGTATTTGTTTTTGTACATACTATCGATCAATACGACACGACATGACGAAATATTTGTTTATATTAGTGCAAAATCATGACATTATTGCTTATTATTTTTATGTATTGTTATAGATATTATATGAATATGTATTTTTATTACATATTACAGGTGAATATTTTCTCGCGTTCAATTGTATAATATAATTCTATGTAAAACTTAATTCATATTATATAAATAAAATATATTATTTATATATTAGTTATATATCAGTTATATTAGATAAAGTATAATATGAAAAATATATTTGACAATTTACCTAAATGTCCACCACATATCGGAACTTATTACACCTAACCAGAAGTAACTCGCTAAAAAGCAGAAATAACTGGAAAAAGCTGAAACAATAAAATAGACAATGTTTAATGTAGGAAATGTACTTTAAAATGTCGCTAATTGATAAGCCGTTATCTTTATCTGTGAAAAAACAGATTTACTTATTTTATACTATGAATTTATAATATTATAAATAATATTATAAATATAATATTATAAATAATAAATATTTACATTTTTTTATACTATGAATTTATAACATAATAAACAATATAAGTGTAAAGAGTATACATTAACAAATTCAAATAGCGAGTGTAAATTTTATTAAAATGTCGCTAATCTGAATAAATGTCACTGTATCTCTGTATATGAAAAAAATTTTAATTTTTTAAAAATAACAAAAAATAATATAATTAATAAGTACATGTTAATATTAAATTAAATAATAATTTAAGGGACACATAATTCTACAGAATTTTAATAATATTATTAGAAAAATATTTATTCAAATAAATTCAAATAAATTATATGATAAAGTATAAATCAAAAATTCACTATTAGTTTTTGTCTTTTCAAAGTTTTAACAATTATATATGTTTTATCGTTAGAAAATAATTAACAGTATACACCAATCACAGTTTAATCTATATAATGCATTGCCTGCATTATTATATGTTTTGCCTATACTGTACCGCTTATAATATAGATGAAATATAGTTTATCTGTCATGATTTGCTTTATAATATCGGCTGAATTTGCAATAAACAACAAACAGCTGTATATAGGCAGCACGAAACTATGTATATTACGAAGCTCTAGCAATATAGAGTTTATTAAGAGAATATCATCAGCACATAGCATATATATACATAGCATAAATACTATCAGATATAGATACGGCAACTCAAATATGTAATATTTATCTTTAATTTCACGTTGTGAAATGTGAGAAATTCAAAGATAAAATACGCTCTTTCACTGATTTTCTTGAAAATTTCCAAGCAGGTAATCGCATTAAATTGGATATCATCCATAGTAGCCAATAGAATGTTGGGTGGACGAATATGTCGAAATCAGGAAGATACAGAGATCCGTTTTCAAAAAACTCGTACTTGTAAAAGTACCAATAGTCCGGATAAAACAGTAAGTATATATTATAGTTTCTTGACACAATTTCTTGATGGTCAATTGCAAATGTTTATTCATTCTCTTTTCGTTGTACAATATAATATGTTTTGAGTAATTCGAATAATTCGAGTATGTGCTTGGAAAAATATATTCATTTTTTTCAGAAATGCAATCGCCGTTCACCAAGCGATTGCCGAGAGGACAACAGAACTGAATGCAAGTTATATTGTCACATTTTTCGTGTGGAACGATGTGATTTTCAATATTATTATTTATTTTGTTTATATCATAGTTAATATGATTATATGTCTCCTCCTATATTGTCCTCTTTGTTGACACTTGTGAAGTTTCACGGAGTCGTTGAAGATGAAGTGAAAAGTAAAATTATGCAAAACCAAAATGCAAAATTTTCACATTGTCAACAATTTATGAACTCAATTTTTTTTTTTACAATTTTTCAGCAATTTCTCAATCTGCTATGTTATGACTACAGCGAATTTTTCAAAATACGCATGATATTGTTCGTCTGCCATGGTAAAGTCACAACATCATTCTCTTTCTAAAGACAAAACTTGCAAAACTACTTATTATAAAATAAAAGATACATTTGCGCGAATAATAAGATGCAATTATCGACAATAAACTTGTTAATGAAACAACTTATCTATTGTAAAATATACTGTATATACAGGATACTTCGCAGAAAAGAACTTTATTGCTAACCTACAGTTTCAAAAATACTATGATATTTAAGAATTTTATGAAGCCACGGATAAATAATGAAAATTTTTTTATTTATATTAAATATATATCATATGATTGAAAAATTTATCTCGAAAAACAATGAAAAAATCATAGTTACGGATGTAAAAAAAAATTTTCTTCAATTGTTTATCTCACATTATAGATGATATATATCTATTTAAATGGAAAATATGGAATTTTATGCAAAATCCGGTTTGCAGTTATTTATATTTCATGTACAATTGGAGGATTTACATCCGGAACAATTAATTAAAGACATATTGGATTTTTAACATATTGGAAATAGAATGATAGCACAAATAATGCCGAATATTTTTGATTAATATTTTTTATTTTTTTTACGCCCTTAGTTAAGATTTTAACAAATGCATATACATTTACATATGCATATACATTTTTTGCAAGAAAAAAAACGTCATGTATATAAAAAAAATACTTTTAAAAAATCTAACATATATTTTCCGTAGAAATAATGTAAATTTTTTTAAAAGAACGATATCCCCCTAAAAAAATCTTATGAAGGTAAAAAAGTACGCCAAATACATGAAAAAAATCTTTAATAAAATCAAAAATCTAAAAGAGTAATAAAAATAAAATATATAAAAACCGATATGAGATACTATTGTTTCTCTCTCTCTCTCTCTCTCTCTCTCTCTCTCTCTCTCTCTCTCCCCCTCTCTCTCTCCCCCCCCTCTCCCCCTCTCTCTCTCTTCTTTATAACACATCGCTCAATAAGTTCCGGGCCTGACATATAAATGGCGCCACTAATAACAAATCCATATTATTTTGGGGAAGCACCAATATTCAAACGCGGATCAAGGATCCATTCCTTTGCTTGAACAGTATTTTTCCCTATCAGGAAGCAATGTTTTATCAAAACACGAAATTCCAATTTTTCCATTCTTTTGAAAATTGCAAAAGTAGCGTCACTAAAACCACTGTAACTTGTAAACTAATGGTCCGATTGAGTTGAAATTTTAACACGGCGCGTTTGAATATTGGTGCTTCCCCAAAATAATATGGATTTGTTATTAGTGGCGCCATTTATATGTCAGGCTCGGAACTTATTGAGTGATGTGTTACAATAAGTTTACCAAAAATATTAATTTTTTCTATAAATCGATTAAAATATTTTCGAAATTTTTCAAAAAAAGTAAAGCATAAAATTTGTATAATAATGCATAAAATCTGTTGTACGGCGTATTCGATAGATCGTGCATGATCGCGGCTACGTAAGGTCGTAATTAAAGTCGGCATAAGCGACTACATTAAATCGTTGATGATCTCGTCCGTGGACTTTGTTATCTTCAATTCCTTACACTACCGATGAATGGAAAAGCGGCCCAACGGCTCTACGATTCTCAAATGATCAACGGTCAACGACGAAGTCAGTCGCAGCATGACAACCAAATGATTATAAGACAAAAAAAGCAAACATATTTATTTATCTGGATACGTTCCAAGGCATCGTCACGATGTGCTGGATTGAGACGTCCGAGTGCTGGATTGAGACGTCATCACGACTCAGAACGTAACACAAAGTGTTATCACGAAGAATTCGCTGCGTAACATTTCATAAAAATAAAGAAAGTTCGTATCTAACACATGTATAAATTATAATAAAAGAAGTGCATAGCAAACCAGAGAATGAGTGCGAAAGCACTGAACCTGATTTATTCCGTCTGATTTTTTATACAAAATAATCATTTTTAAATTGCTCAAGCTACAAAACAATTTACATCGCATTTAAATATGTACAAATTAAAATTAAAAGATGAAATATAGATATCTACACAGTAAAAAATTTTATGTTAAATTTAACATATTTCACATGTCCCATTTATACACTTTAATTTTCATGTTAATGTAACAGAAGGCAAGTATGTAAATAAATAACACAATATGTTTAGAAATTAATTGTAATATGTTTAAAAATTAACACAAAAGTGTAACACTTAAACTTTATCTGAAAATAAAGTTTATGTTAAAATAACATATTTATAATGTTAAATTTAATTAAAAGAAAATGTTATTTTTACATTTTTGATGATAAATAACAGAATAGATATGTCGATCTAACATATGGAAACTGTTATAGAGAGAAAAATAACACAATTTATCTGTTCATTTTAACATATAACATATCTCATAAAAAATTCGTGCATTTACATATTAATTGTGTTGTTTTAACTCTTAGGAACGGTGAATATTAACTCAACGCAGAAATGTCAAAATGACGCAACGATAATATGTTACATTAATATAAGAGTATGTTAAAAATTTTACACAAAAATTTTTACACCAGAACATTTTAACAGACATACAATATGTTTTTCACAAATGTGTTGACATGGTACAGTTAGTCAAACTTGTAACCGTTTCATTCGAAGTTTTGGAAAAACACTTGCAATTCTGACAGAACCGCTTTAATAGCAGTCGTATGATTGTCTTTTTACACACGAATATAATGAATATACCGATACATTGCATGTTTCTTAACAAAATAATATTAAATAAGACGTACCGCACTGGAATATTAAACAACGAAAATACGTACTCTATTGTCATAATCCAATCTATGGCTATTATAATAAACAGCATGATAAACAGTCTCAGATACAAACTGAACCTGCAAATGAATATATCTTTTATATTTTCTGAATTTGTTTCATAAAAATAAATATTTCTTTCGAAAAAATTATAATAATTTCACATTATTAAATATATAAAAATGTTTGTGTACAAACCATCGCATGTTATCATTATAAAATCTGCTTTCTGAATCTCTTAGACGACGGGCTGTATCCTTTTCATAACGCATAATTTTCAATGCTGTGTAAATAGATAAGCAAACGCTACTAATAACACAGACACTTTTCGGCCCGCCAAAATACAATAGATACGCCGCATTCTCTGCAAAAAATAATAATCTTCTTTACATCACATATTGCAAATGTAACAGAAGAACATATTTTTATTTTTAAAATGAATTCTCAAAGTGTTCATTAATTAGAAGTTTTGTAATAAAGTTATCTTAATAGTGACATACACTCACCATGAAACCAAAAAGTATCGACACAAAATTCCGGTTGGATTAAGTTTTTCGGCACATTGGGAACGAACTCCATAACAATACAAATGATAGTAAAAATAAAGGGACCTCCCAATGCAAAGATAGAATATATTAATTTTTTTCTCTTTTGTTTTCCTCTTTCGTTTCTTTGAAACGAGCGAAAATCTCTACAAATGCAAAGTTTACTTTATAATTAAATAGTAACAAATAAAACCAATTGTGATGCCTTCCTTCAAATATCTCAAATGTCTGCTTTATATAAATTATAAAAAAATGATTTATGCTATATAGTGCCACAAAATAATAAACGTTACTATATATTCAAATATATCGATATTTTACTATCATTAGATTAATTTTGATTTAGCAAAATGTTTAATAAAAAAATTCGGAATCAATTTCCGTTAAAAAGCTTGACTATTTTGTATTATTATAAAAAAAGAGAAAAAATTTTTTAACGATATTGGCTTATATATAAAATTAAAAAAACATAAAATTATGAAAAGGTTAGTAATATTACATTATAAATTTTGAAATTATATTATGAATTTTTTAATAATTTAATATAACTTTATTAATAATTTAAAACATTTTATTTTAATAATCATTAATAGCATTAATATCATTTTGCCTTTAACAATTGAATGCGTGCTTATAAAATCACATCAATTTTTTGTTTTAGAAAAAGCAGATTAGAAATTTCCAATAAAAAAATGTGCATGTTTCTGAAATGCACCTGTGTCATATCTGCATTAAAATGATCGTTTCTCAAACCAAATAATTATTTATATACTACCAAGACACGATATATTCTTTCCGATCAATGCAAATCATTATTCTTCTTTATCTTTATGGAATGTTATAGACATAAACTGAATGTATTATTTATAGATATCGTATACGTATGAATATTTTATGATATCATGCTTTCGTCATATAAGAAATATCACTATCTTATAAAAATAAATTTATATTATAGATAAAGTTTGGCATATATACATACATATATATATATATATATATATATATATATATATATATGTATACAGGATGTCCCACCTAGAAGTGGCCACCCCCTTTTTTCTTTTAAACTAAAAGAGATAGACCATAACAAATATATATGAAATTAAATGGCTTTAACTGAACTTTATTGTGAGTATAGTGATTGATTACAAAATTTATCTGTATTAAAGAACGGAGAGATATGTATAATTTTTTTATAATAATGTAGATATTTTGATATAATAAAAGTTGTAGCGCTGTTTGAAACGAATATAACGATGTATGATTTAATGTAAATATATTTTACATATTATACGAAATTTTCCGGCTTGAAATATCGCGGGCGACGTCCACCATTTCATTTTCGGCCCTGCGATATAGCCAACTTCTGACTGAGTATCATGATTAAATGACAACATGACATATGTCAACCTCTAATGCACGAGTCAGAAGTTGGCTATATCGCAGGGCCGAAAATGAAATGGTGGACGTCGCGATATTTCAAGCCGAAAAATCTCGTATAATATGTAAAATATTTACATTAAATCATACATCGTTATATTCGTTTCAAACAGCGCTACAACTTTTATTATATCAAAATATCTAATTATTATAAAAAAATTATACATATCTCTCCGTTCTTTAATACAGATAAATTTTGTAATCAACCACTATACTCACAATAAAGTTCAGTTAAAGCCATTTAATTTCATATTTGTTATGGTCTATCTCTTTTAGTTTAAAAGATAAAAGGGGGTGGCCATTTCTAGGTGGGATACCCTGTATATATATATTAAACAATTTACCTAAATGTCCACCAAAAGTCGAAACTCATTACACTTAACCAGAAAAAACTTGACAAAAAACAGAAACACTCGAGTAAAACTGCAACAATAAAATAAACAATTTTAAAATGTCACTAATTGACAAGCATTTTGTATATCATTAGGAACTATATTATATTATACAAAGTTTTTCTTCGACTTTAATAGTAAAAAATTATCACAGAAAACAATATAATTAATTAACACACGCTAATATTGAATAAAATAATGTTTGGATTTCAAAAATATATAACTTTATAAGATTTGAATAGTATTATCAAAAAATATTAGGCAAAATAATTTAAATTGTATTTTACGTTAAAGTAAAATAATATATTATTTTAATTCTTTTCACTATTAATTCTTGTTTATTATATTTTAGTATATCGTACATTCAAGTTTTATGGCAAAAAAATTAATAAAAATTAAGTGCCAATGTACTTTTTTTTACTAACGTGAAATAAAAAAAATCAAAATAATATTTTATTTTATTTTAACATACAATAAAATTTAAAGTGCTTCGCCTAAATATTTTTTTGTTACAAAAATTAATAAAAAGTAAACTAATGTACACACTGCATTGACTGCATTATTATATGATTTGGCTGTACTGTACCAATTATGACACAGATGAAATGTGAAATATCTGCTACGTTTATTGGATAGAGTGATTGGAAAAATATAATCTGAATTATGCTTCCAAAAAGTAAAAAACTGCAGTAATTGCGCAGCATGAAACTATGTATGTTACGAAACTGCGGTAGTATAGAATACACCATAAATGTTGTCAGCAAACACAACATAGACACTATATGGCAACTCAAAACTAAAAAGTTTAATTCTTCATTTAAGATGCTTTTGTATACTTTATCGTCTCCTTTATTGTATTCTTCATCGCCCAAGCAGAAAATTGCATCGAATTGATTATGATCCACTACGGCCAAACAATAAGATGTTGATTCGTAAAATTTGTCGTAAAAAGGACGATACAGGAAGCTGTTTACGAAGAACATATACTTAGAGTACTTGAAATAATTATCCATAATACTCGGAAGGAAACGTGTAATTTCCTGGCACGGATTTTGAACGGTTAGTGGAAAAAGCTCATCCACCTTCTTATTTCCGCTCTGTATCGAATTGTTTGAGCTATATATGTTTGGGAAAACATATTCATTTTTACTAGCAATGCAATTATTGCCAACCAAACGATCATCAAGCGGACAACAGAGCTGAATGCAAGTTATATTGGCACATTTTTCATATAGAACGGTGTAATTTTTATTATTATCATTATTCGTTTTGTTTTTAATAAAGTTTGAATGATTATATGTCTCCTTCCATATGTTGTCTTCTTTGTTGTCACTTGTGAAATTTTCCAAAGTCTTTGAAGATGAAGTGATAAATAAAACTACGAAAAACCAAAATGCAAATCTTTCACTGCACATCTTTAACAATTTGAGAACTCAATTTAATTTTTTTCTAATCTACAATTTCTTAATCTGCTATTACGACAGCAAATTTTTTAAAATACGCATGCTATTGTTCGTCTGCGGTGGTTAAGTCACGACAACGTTATTCTCCTTCTAAAGACAAAACTTGTAAAACTAGTTATTATAAAATAATAGACACATTCGCGCGAATAATAAGACGCAATCATCATTGACTTGCTAATGAAACAACTTATCTATTGTAAAATATACTGTATGTACATACAGGATACTTCGCAGATAAAACTTTATTGCTAAGCCATAGTTTCAAAAATACTATGATATTTAAGAATTTTATAAAGCAACGGATAAATAATGAAAATTTTTTATTTATATTAAATATATCATATAATTGAAAAGTTTATCTCGATAAACAATTTTATTCATTTTTTATTCACATTATAGATATAATATCTATTTAAATGGAATTGTGATATAAATCTATCTAATAAAATTGTGTAATTTTATGCAAATCGGTTTGCATTATTTTCATTCACGTACAATCGAATTTACATGGAAACTAATTAAGTATATTTTTGATATTGAATAGAATGTCAATGTAGCTATTTTGATAATATTTTTTATTTTTCTTTAAAAAAAAACTTATCATTTATAGATAATTAATTATACATGTATGTACATACAGATAAAATGATTACTTGCAGATAAATAATGGAAATTGTGAATGATAACATCTATTAAATGAAAATTGTGTAATTTTATTGCTAAGCCATAGTTCAAAAAATACTATGATATTTAAGAATTTATAAAGCAACGGATAAATAATGAAAATTTTTTATTTATATTAAATATATCATATAATTGAAAAGTTTATCTCGATAAACAATTTTATTCACTGTTTTATCTCACATTATAGATGATAATATCTATTTAAATGGAAATTGTGAATGATAACATCTATCTAAATGAAAATTGTGTAATTTTATGCAAAATCCGGTTTGCAATTATTTTCATCTCACGTACAATCGGAGGATTTACATTGGAAACTAATTAAGTATATTTTTAGGATATTGGAGATAGAATGATGGCTCAAATGATACCGACTATTTTGGATTAATATTTTTTAATTTTTCTTTAAAAAAAAAACTTTTTCATTTTCATAGAAATAATCTAATTATACAAGAAATGTAATGTACAAATTGTGTATCGTTCTAGATATAAAAATCCAGAAAAATATAAGTCAATTGCAAGTATCATTTAATATCATTTATTTATATTCGATATTATGCTAGATTAAGTGATTTATGTTTTTAATAACTCATTTATACATTATGATGTATTCATATGTAATATATGATAAATTATAAATTTGATATTTTTATAAATTCGTATAAAAAATGTTTATATCTAAATATACATATAGATATTAATGAGACATGTAGAAGGCCTAAAAAGAAAAATAAAATTAAATGATAACAGTTGAATATGCTCACAATAAAATAATCAATAATGGAATGGAAAAGAAATAATAATAAATTTCGAGATTTTCAAAAAGAATTTGATTCAAAAATCAATTTATGCTTTTCTTCTTAATTAATATATGGAGGATTAATTTTTCATACATATTATATACTTATAAATATTATATTAATTAATGCAAGCTATAAAAATACTTAAATGCAAATCGCCCTCAAGTGCATAATATTATATGACAAAGCATTCATGTCGTCGACACGGCGCACGTAAAATACAATTATATGAAAATAAATTCGAAATTGAACATATAAAGAATTTTAAATAACGGATACGTTTAAAACAGTCCTGTTCAAATATTTTTATAATTGATTTGAATCATGCGACGTGGTAGCGTTGCGACACCAAATATATAGAAAACTGATAAAAAACTGAATCCGAGCATTGAGAGTCACTGTTCTCGACGCAGCGTTACCAAGTAGCTTATCCGGAATTTTACATTAAATAAACTTTCGACTAAAATATTTCAGAAACCAAAGCCGTAATCAAAAGTCTAACGGCACTTTTATTATATAATATGGATACAAGCTTCCGATTGCGAGCAGTTTGAATAAAATTGATGCAGTCAATCCCGAGAAATGATAATTGCATGTCAGAATTATGACATTTTTCATTTTTCTTCAAAATAAGGTACAGAGTCATGAACGAATCTTCGCACACATTCAAAGCGATTTTATCCCTCAATCTGCGTTCACATCGCGCATATATGATTATTCTCTTTAGTGTGCAAAAATGCTTTAACAGACATAACTTTTTTTAAGAGACAAAACCATTTATGTACATATGTGTGCATATATGTGAGAGATTAATTTATTGCATAATAATTTTCAAAAATCTTTTGGCAGTAAAAAATAATATTTCAAAAACGGAATATCACAAAAGTATAAATACTATGCTGTTAGATGAGACTTCTAAAGAGATTAATTTATACTATATTTATTATTACAATAATATTCAAAAACCCCTTGGGAGTGAACTGTAATATCTAGAAAATGAAGCTTCGTAAAAATACGCGATTTACGCCCTTAGATAAGATTTTTTAAAATGCATATACATTTTTTGCAGATATAATATAAATTTTTACAAAAAGTGATGATATCTCTCCAGAAACAACCTTACAAAGGTAAAAACAATACGTCAAATATATAAAAAAATATTTTTAAAAAATCTAACATATTTTCTGTAGAAATGATGTAAATTTTTACAAAAAACGGTGAGATCTTCCGAAAAAAATTTTATAAAGGTAAAAAAATACGCCAAATATATGAAAAAAATCTTTAACAAAATAAAAAAGTCTAAAAGTGTGATAAAAATAATAAATAAATAAATTAATTAATTAATATATAAAAACCGATATGAGACCAATCTTTTGGCCAAAAATATTAATTTTTTCTATAAATCGATTAAGATATTTTCGAAATTTTTTTTCAAAGAAAGTGAAACATAAAATTTGTATAATAATGCATAAAATCTGTTGCAACAGCGTATTTGATAAATCGTATATGATCGCGGCTACGTGAGATCGTAATTAAAGTCGGTATAAGCGACTATATTAAACCATTGATGATCTCGTCCATGGCTTTCATTATCTTCGATTGCTTACACTATCGATCAGTGCAAGACGGCCCAACGATCCTACGGCTCTCGAATGATCAACGGTCAATGGCGAAGTCAGTCGCAGCATGACAAACGATTATAAGACCAAACGATTATAAGACAAAAAAAAGCGAACATATTTTTGTTATGCGGATACGTTCCCTGGTATCGTCACGATCCGAGTGCTGGATTGAGACGTCATCGAGATCAGAACGTAACACGAAGTGTTATCACGAAGAATTCCCTGCGTAACATTTCATAAAAATAAAGAAAGTTCGTATCTAACACATGTATTACAAATTACAATAATTGTATTACAAATTACAATAAAAGAAGTGCATAGGAAACCAGAGAATGAGTGCGAAAGCACTGAATCTGATTTATTCCGTCTGATTTTTTATACAAAATAATCATTTTTAAATTGCTCAAGCTACAAAACAATTTACATCGCATTTAAATATGTACAAATTAAAATTAAAAGATGAAATATAGATATCTACACAGTAAAAAATTTTATGTTAAATTTAACATATTTCACATGTTCCAATTTATATACTTTAATTTTCATGTTAATGTAACAGAAGGCAAGTATGTAAATAAATAACACAATATGTTTAAAAATTAATTGTAATATGTTTAAAAATTAACACAAAAGTGTAACACTTAAACTTTATCTGGAAATAAAGTTTATGTTAAAACAACATATTTATAATGTTAAATTTAATTAAAAGAAAATGTTATTTTTACATTTTTGATGATAAATAACAGAATAGATATGTCGATCTAACATATGGAAACTGTTATAGAGAGAAAAATAACACAATTTATCTGTTCATTTTAACATATAACATATCTCATAAAAAATTCGTGCATTTACATATTAATTGTGTTGTTTTAACTCTTAGGAACGGTGAATATTAACTCAACGCAGAAATGTCAAAATGACGCAACGATAATATGTTACATTAATATAAGAGTATGTTAAAAATTTTACACAAAAATTTTTACACCAAACAATTTTAACAGAAATACAAAATGTTTTTTACAAATGTGTTGACATGGTACAATTAGTCAAACTTGTAACCGTTTCATTCGAAGTTTTGGAAAAACACTTGCCATTCTGACAGAAACGCTTTAATAGCAGTCGTATGATTGGCTTTTTACACAAGAATATGATGAACGTACTGATATATTGTATGGTGTCCATCATCAAAATAATACGATAGACGTACCACAGTTTAACGTTATTAATATCGTCAACATTATTAATTTTATTAACACCGGAATTATTAACATCAATCTGCCAAAAACAGTACACAGTTATTATAATCCAATTTGTGGCCATTATAATAAACAGCATGATAAACAGGCTCAGATGCAGATTGAACCTGCAAATGAATATATCTCTTTTATATTTTCTAAAGTTATGATATATTTGATTCTATAAATATATTATGACCAAACACATTTTAAGTAATTTATTTCAAAAAATAAATATTTCCTTCAAAAAAATTATAATGATTATTAAATATATTTAAATAACTATATAATAAATAGGTACTACTAACTTAAATTAAAATCAAAATCAACGATGTGATTGTACAAGAGAGCTCGTTTTTATGAAAATATATTATCGTCAATAAAGAAGTCTCAGAATGAATATTTCTCTCTTTCTCTTGTATTGGAAATGATCAAAAAAGCTATTGATTTTATTAAAAGCAATACCGTTGACAAGTGAATACAACGACACATGTCTTATTGTTAAACAAGACTGATTATACATTGATATAAATATGTTTGTGTACAAACCATCGCTTGTTGTCATTATAAAATCTGCTCTCTGTATTTCTCAGATGACGGACTGTGTCTTTTTCATAACGTACAATTTTTAATGCAGTGTAAATAGATAAGCAAAAGCTACAAACAACACAGACACTATGCGGCCCGTAAAAATACAATAGATACGCCATATTTTCTAAAATAAATAATAAACTTCTTTACATCACATGTTGCAAATAAAACAGAAGAACATACATTTATTTTTAAAATGAATTCTCAAAGGTTCATTAATTAGATGTTTTGCAATAGAGTTATGTTAATAGTGACATACACTCACCATGAAACTCAAATGTATCGACACAAAATTTCGGTCGGATTAAGTTTTTCGGCATATTGGGAACGAACTCCATAACAATACAAATGATAGTAAAAATAAAGGGACCTCCCAAAGCAAAGATAGAATATATTAATTTTTTTCTCTTTTGTTTTCCTCTCTCGTTTCTTTGAAACGAGCGAAAATCTCTACAAATGCAAAGTTTACTTTATAATTAAATAGTAACAAATAAAACCAATTGTGATGCCTTCCTTCAAATATCTCAAATGTCTGCTTTATATAAATTATAAAAAAATGATTTATGCTATATAGTGCCTCAAAATAATAACTGTTGTTATATATTCAAATATATCGATATTTTACTATCATTAGATTAATTTTGATTTAGCAAAATGTTTAATAAAAAAATTAGGAATCAATTTCCGTTAAAAAGCTTGAGTATTTTGTATTATTATAAAAAAAAAGAAAAAAAATTTTTAACAATATTTGCTTAGGATATATAAAATTAAAAAAACATAAAATTACGAAAAGGTTAGTATTACGATAAGATTAATATTATATTATAAATTTTGAAATTATATTATGAATTTTTTTATAATTTAATATTACTTTATTAATAATTTAAAATATTTTATTTTAATAATCATTAATAACATTAATATCATTTTTTCTTTAACAATTGAATGCGTGCTTACAAAATTCACATCAATTTTTTGTTTTAGAAAAGCAGATTAGAAATTTCCAATAAAAAATGTGCATGTTTCTGAAATGCAACCTGTGTCATATCTGCATTAAAATGATCGTTTCTCAAACCAAATAATTATTTATATACTACCAAGACACGATATATTCTTTCCGATCAATACAAATCATTATTCGTTTTTATTTTTATGGAATGTTATTAGACATAAACTGAATGTATTATTTATACATATCACATAAGAATATTTTATGGTATCATGCTTTCGTCATATAAGAAATATCACTATCTTATAAAAATAAATTTATATTATAGATAAAGTTTGGCATATATATATAAATATATAAATATATATTAAACAATTTACCTAAATGTCCACCAAAAGTCGAAACTCATTACACTTAACCAGAAAGAGCTTGACAAAAAACAGAAATACTCGAGTAAACCTGCAACAATAAAATAAACAATTTTTAAATGTCACTAATTGACAAGTATCTTGTATATCATTAAGAACGTTATTATATTATAAAAAATTTTTTTTCAACTTTAATAGTAGAATTTATCACAGAAAACAATATAATTAATTAATACATGCTAATATTAAATTAAATAGTGTTTTGATTTCAGAAATATATAACTCTAAAAAATTTGAATATTATGAAAAATATATTATTCAAAGTAATTTAAATTGTATTTTACGTTAAAGTTTGATAAAATATTAAGTTATTTTTTTTCACTATTAATTCTTGTTTTTTAAATTTTAGTATTATCGTACATTCAAGTTTTATCGTAAAAATATTAATAAAAATTAAATGCCAATATACTTATTTTTACTAATGTAAAGTGAAAAAAATTAAAATAATATTTTATTTTATTTTAACGTATAATAAAATTTAAATTGCTTCGTCCAAATATTATTTTGGTATAAAAATTAGTAAAAAAACTAATGTACACACTGCATTGACTGCATTATTATATGATTTGGCTGTACTGTACCAATTATGACACAGATGAAATATGGAATATCTGCTATGTTTATTGGATAGAAGGATTGGAAACTTATACTCTGAACTATGCATCCGAAAAATAACAAACTGCAGTATTTGCGCAGCATAAAACTATGTATGTTACGAAGCTCCGGTAGTATAGAATACACCACAAATGTTGTCAGCAAACACAACATAGACACTATATGGCAATTCGAAAATAAAAAGTTTAATTCTTCATTTAAGATGCTTCCGTATTTTTTGTATTCTTTATAGACCAAGCAGAAAATTGCATCGAATTGATTACGATCCACGACGGCCAAACAATAAGATGTTGATTCGAGAAATATGTCGTAATTAGGAAGATACAGGGAGCTGTTTGCGAAGATCATATACTCATAGTACTTAGAATAATTATCCTTAATAATCGGAATAAAACGTATAGTTTCCTGGCACGGATTTTGAACGGTTAGTGGAAAAAGGTCGTTCACGTTCTTATTTCCGCTCTGTATCGAATTGTTTGAGCTATATATGTTTGGGAAAACATATTCATTTTCACTAGCAATGCAATTCTTGCCATCCAAGCGATCACCAAGCGGACAACAGAGCTGAATGCAAGTTATATTGGCGCATTTTTCGTATGGAAGGATGTCAGTTTTATTATTGTTATTCCTTTTGCTTCTAATAAATTTCGTATAATTATATGTCTTCCATATGTTGCCCTCCCATATGTTGTCTTCTTTGTTGTCACTTGTGAAATTTCCCGAAGTCTTTGAAGATGAAGTGATAAATAAAACTACGCAATACCAAAATGCAAAACTTTCACCGCACATCGTCAACAATTTGTGAAATCAATTTTTTTTAATCAACAATTTCTTAAGCTGCTATGTTACGACCACAGCAAATTTTTCAAAATGCGCATGATACTATTCGTCTGCGATGGTTAAGTCACGATAACAACACTCTATTTAAAGACTCTCTATTTAAAGACTCCCTCTTAAACACTCTCTATTTAAAGACAAAACTTGTAAAACAACTTATTATAAAATAATAGACACATTCGCGCGAATAATAAGACGCAATCATCATCGACTTGTTGACGAAACAAACTTATCTATTGTAAAATATACTGTATGTACAGAATACATCGCAGATAAAACTTTATTGCCCAAGCTATAGTTTCAAAAATACTATGATATTTAAGAATTTTATGAAACAACAGATAAATAATAAAAACTTTTTTATTTATATTAAAAATATCATATGATTGAAAAATTTATCTCAAAAAACAATTAAAAAATCACAAGACGAATGTAAAAAAATTTTATTCATTTTTTTATTCCACATTATAGATGATAATATATATGTTCAATTGAAAATTGTGGAATTTTATTAAAATCCGGTTTGCAGTTATTTATATTTCACGTACAATCGGAGGATTTACATCTGAAAACATTTAGTTAAGCATATTTTTAGGATATTGGAGATAGAATAATGACTCAAATAATGCCGATTTTTTGATTGAAATTTTTTAATTTTTTTTTTAAGAAATAGACTTTTTCATTCATAGAATTCTTCAAAATAATACAATTCTACAGGAAATGTAATGTACAAATTGTGTACAAATTGTACATTATTATTGTACAAATTGTACATTATTAATGTACAAATTGTGTATCGTTCTTGATATAAAAATCGTGCAGCTAGAAAAATATAAGTGAATTGCAAATAGCATTTATATTCGATATTATGGTAAATTAAATGATTTATGTACGAGGGTAGTTCGAAAAGTTCTCGGCCTGGCAAAAAAAACATGATTCACAAAATCTTTTTTTTTTTCAACATAGTTTTCAACTCAATCATTTACCACGATTTTAATTTTTTTTACCCTATATACGATCGTTTCCCGATCATGATTGCGTTTTATCGACCGTTAACACGCGCACCCATCCGCTGAGCTTTTTCATATGCAAATGTTCATGTAAGATATTGTGAACACGATCTATTGAGATGTTTGCAATGTTAGAAAGCTCACGCACTTTTACTCGTCGATCATTTAACACGCTATCGTGGATTTTTTGAATGATTTCCTCATTCGTGGCGGTTTTCGGGCGACCGAACGTTCATCTCAAGATGGATGAACGCCAGTTTAAATTCAGCAGCCATTTCTTCACTGTTGAAAATGATGGAGAAGAGTCTCCCAAAGTGGAATCCAGCTCGTTTTTTATTTCTGTTAATCCTTTTAAAACGAAATATTTTATGACTGCGCGATATTCAATTTTATCCATTTTTGGAGAAGTATCAAATCTTGTCTGTTTTACTCGAGCACAGTAAACAAACTAGCGAACGAATCTGTCTGAAACTGTCGGTACGCCCTCTGAGGATTAAACTTGAGAAAAATCATAGCCATTTGATATTCTTAGCAACATCTCTATATTAGGCCGAAAACTTTTCGAACTACCCTCGTATTTAACAATTCATTTATATATCATGATGTATTTATGTGGGATATATGATAAATATAATTAATATTTAAAAATATAATTTATAAATATAATCATATAAAAAAATTATATGTAAATATACATATAGATATTAATAAGACATATGAAAGGCTTAAAAAGAAGAATAAAATTAAATTATGACAATTGTGTGTGCTTACAATAAAATAGTCAATAGACGTATGGAAAAGAAATATAATAATAATTATAATAAATATAATAATAATAAATTTCGAGATTTTCGAGAAGAATTTGATTCAAATATCATTTTAACATGCTTTCTTTAATAATTAATTTTTGGAGAATTAATTTTTTATACATATCATACACTTATAAATATATTATACTTATAAATATATTATATTATTTAATGCAATTTATAAAAATATTTAAACGCAAATTGCCATGAAGTGTATAATATATGATAAAACATTCATGTCGTCGACGCGGCGCACGTAAAATACAATTATATGAAAATAAATTCGAAATCGAACATATAAAGAATTTTAAATAACGGATACGTTTAAAACAGTCCTGTTCAAATATTTTTATAATTGATTTGAATCATGCGACGCGGTAGCGTTGCGACACCAAATATATAGAAAACTCATAAAAAACTGAATCCGAGCATTGAGAGTCACTGTTCTCGACGCAGCGTTACCAAGTAGCTTATCAGGAATTTTACATTAAATAAACTTTCGACTAAAATATTCCAGAAACCAAAGCCGTAATCAAAAATCTAACGGCACTTTTATTATATAATATGGATACAAGCTTTCGATTACGATACAATCTTCTACAAAAAACATAACAAAAACTCCCTTGCAATTGCCGCCGTCCTAACATATTACAATTATTTATCCTATCCACAAACGCATCGCATATACAGGGTCTACCAAAAGTGTGGAAACCCCTAAATATCTCGGAAAATATACGTTTTACAGAAAAGTGTTTCCAACAAAAGTTGTAGGGTTTAAGAAGATCTATATACTGATTCTATCAGTTTGACCTTGGATGGCGTCGTCAAGGTCAGGTCAAGGTCACATTGACTTTTTTAAATGACACCCCCTACATTTGATTGCATATTCTTATAGCTTAATTCAAGAGCTTTCCAAAACACTATAATAATGTTCATTTTTATTAAGTACTTTGCGAGTTATGAGGGTTGAAATAATTTCTTAATTTTACATAAACCATAAAATATCTAGTAAACCATTCATTTTTCGATTATCTTACCTTCATACTTTTATGTACAAATTAATGAGAGGAATCAATTGGTGTAAAGAAAACACATAGTTGTTTCTAAGAAAAAATATGTAATTTGCAATTAACAATTCCATATTTTTTCTTAAAAACAACTGTATGTTTTCTTTACACCAATTGATTCCTTTCATTATTTTGTACATAAAAGTATGAAGGTAAGATAATCGAAAAATGAATGGTTTACTAGATATTTTATGGTTTATGTAAAATTAAGAAATTATTTCAATCCTCATAACTCGCAAAGTACTTAATAAAAATGAACATTATTATAGTGTTTTGGAAAGCTCTTGAATTAAGCTATAAGAATATGCAATCAAATGTAGGGGGTGTTATTTAAAAAAGTCAATGTGACCTTGACCTGACCTTGACGACGCCATCCAAGGTCAAACTGATAGAATCAGTATATAGATCTTCTTAAACCCTACAACTTTTGTTGGAAACACTTTTCTGTAAAACGTATATTTTCCGAGATATTTAGGGGTTTCCACACTTTTGGTAGACCCTGTATAACCAATTGCCCATGAGCGCCATGAGTGTAGATTGTTTTCTCCACCCATAGCTGTTCCGTACGCACGCACGCACGCACCGCACGCACGCACGCCGCACGCACGCACGCACGCACGCACGCACGCACGCCACGCACGCACGCACGCACGCACGCACGCACGCACGCACGCACGCACGCACCGCACGCACCACGCACGCACGCACGCACGCACGCACGCACGCACGCACGCACGCACGCACGCACGCACGCCACGCACGCCCACGCACGCACGCACCACGCACGCACGCACCCGCACGCACGCACGCACGCACGCACGCACCACGCACGCACGCACGCACGCACCACGCACGCACGCACGCACGCACGCACGCACGCCACGCACGCACGCACGCACGCACGCACGCACGCACGCACGCACGCACGCACGCACGCACGCACGCACGCACGCACGCACGCACGCACGCACGCACGCACGCACGCACGCACGCACGCACGCACGCACGCACGCCACGCACGCACGCACGCACGCACGCACGCACGCACGCACGCACGCACGCACGCCACGCACGCACGCACGCACGCACGCACGCACGCACGCACGCACGCACGCACGCACGCACGCACGCACGCACGCACGCACGCACGCACGCACGCACGCACGCACGCACGCACGCACGCACGCACCACGCACGCACGCACGCACGCACGCACGCCCACGCACGCACGCACGCACGCACGCACGCACGCACGCACGCACGCACGCACGCCACGCACGCACGCACGCACGCACGCACGCACGCACGCACGCACGCACGCCACGCACGCACGCACGCACGCACGCACGCACGCACGCACGCACGCACGCACGCACGCACGCACGCACGCACGCACGCACGCACGCACGCACGCACGCACCACGCACGCACGCACGCACGCACGCACGCACGCCACGCACGCACGCACGCACGCACGCACGCACGCACGCACGCACGCACGCACGCCACGCACGCACGCACGCCACGCACGCACGCACGCACGCACGGCACGCACGCACGCACGCACGCACCGCCTTTGGACTTCTGTTTCCTCTTGCTCTTTTCTCATTCTCTATTTTCATTCTCTATCCCCGCTAACCCCCCTTATCACTCATTCACTCTCTTCTTCTCTCTCTCTACTCCTCCTTCCTCCCCCTCTCCTACTCTTTCTCTCTCTACTCTCCTCATCCATCCCTCTCCCTCCCCCTCATCCTCCAGCACCCACATTTTCCTGCCAGCTACCTTCCATTTCCTCTTGTCTCCCACACCCTTCCCACACATGTTTCCATGTCTCCTCTTCCCCCCACATATCCTACAGACCTTCTTTTCTTCCTTCTCTCAATACTTACTCTCTCTTACCTCACTTTCTAACCTAAACCTCGTCACCCTTCTCCACCTACTCTCTCCCCAACCCTTCTTCAGTTATCCTGGAATTCCCTCTCCCTTAACCTCCTTATATCATCTATTATATTTCGAGTTTTTTATTTTTTCCCATCTTTCTCTTCTTTGTCTATCTTTTTCCCTACTCTCTATTTCCTCAACCCAAGTTTCTTCTTCTTCTCTTTCTCTCTCTATTTCCTCTATCATTATTACTCTCTACTCCCGAAGAATTCCTTCCTTTCTTCCTCCCATTCCTTTCTTCCTATCCCACAATTTATCCCTTTGCAATTCCTCCCTTACTAAATACCCCGGTGTTTTTCCCTCCACCCTCCCCCCATACCTCTTTCACCTCTCTTTCCTCTCTTCCACAGCCATTTTCTTCTCCCCACTTTTCCAACTCCCTTCCTAAATCTCATTATTTTTGTCTTTCCGGTATTCAATTCCAACCCCTTCCTATCTAAATATCCTTCTAGCCTATTCATCATACTCCTTATCTCGTCTTCCTCCTCCGCCAATAACATTATATCGTCCACGTACGCTAGAATATAGACCCTCTCCTCCCCTAGTTTCACCTCTCCCCATTTTACTTTCCATATTATATATAATAAACATAAATTAGAAAAATAATAATAAAAAGTACATAATATACCATAATATACCATAACAATATACCATAACAATAAAATATACTATGACAAAATAAAAATAAAATGTACAGATTATAAAGTTCGTTATATAGAACGTATATCGTATTTTATTCTTTTAGTTAAGATCGAAGCACTTTCGATTTTAACTAAAAGAATAAAAAAATAAATCTGAACCAGTAAAACAATGAAATTGCTATCTCAATTCCATATGTTGAAAGATTCAGCTAATTTTACTGTTTAAAAATTAAAAGGTATAAAGAAAGTATCCTTATTTTTGTTTTACGTGATCTATAAACGGAGATATCATGGTGCAAAATCAAAATATGGAAATTTTCATTTTTTAAAGAAACATCTTTATCATCACCGTCATCAACGCATATTAACACAACACAAAAAGAAAAAGCGTGCAGTTTCTCTCTCGACAGAAGATTAGCGACGCTCTAAGATATTAATGACAAATGATATTATAGTGACATGTGTAATTTAACTGCATTTTGAGTAGTGACAGGTTAAATAATAAAATGCAAATTAAATAATAAAAGCTGAATCTTAACATATGGAATGGAGGCATTCAAATAGCATATTATTGTTTGTTACTGGTTCAGATTTATCTTTATTTCCTTTTATTGTTGGAATAGAATCATTGTAGAGAAAACGCAGTTCGCTCTTCTTATTCATATTTTTATAATTTCCAATGCTTCGTTAATAAGTGATACTACTTCGTCATTGTTCATTATTGTGATATGAGTACCTTCCACGTAATGTATTTGTACTGTACGTTCGGTAATCTAAAAATATTTTTGTTTATAATCTTAAAAATGACAAAAAATATTACTCTCTAATCAAATTTACCTTATGTAGACCAAAATCTTCTTCAATAACAGTGATAGGCGCAAGTCTGGATTTTAATAAGGTTATAGATGATTTAAGACGGGGCAATGATGTTATATTATAATCTTGCACAGCGATTATATGATCGTAAATTGTCGAACATAAAAGTTTCTGATTTTCAACAGTTAATTCATTGGTATCCTTGGAAAAGCGAGCAGAAACTAATTCTAATTTCTCTCCCCACGTATTGCACTTATTTAGTTCTAATGTAAGCTGTAAATAATAATATTGGATCAGTACAACAAAATGACAATCTGCATTTTAAACTGAGATAAAATAATATACTTATATTATATTATGTTATTTCATATAATTTAAATTACGTTAAAGAAACTTTACAGAACCTTTGTAATTTAGATTATATAAAATAATATAATAAAATAATATAATAAAAAATTTAGCTTACTCTTATAACTTTAAAGCATACATTCTATAAAATTATTTTTTTCATAATTCTTCCTCCCATTCTATTAACTATATATATATACATATATTTTTTTTTATAATTAACTACATATATATTTTTAATAATTGACTAACTATAATTTCATTGTTAGGGTCAAGGTACATGTTTATTACATTAAGGAAAATGCAATTTTGTAGCTCTTGTTTTATATAATAAAAAAATTTCTTAAGCAAGAACTTCATTTGATCAGGAGCTCCATCTGTAAGTATTAAACGTACGGAGAAATTCTTAGCTTCTAATAATCTCGCTAATTCAATGGCAATTAAAGATCCAAATGAATAACCGATAATTAGAAATTCTTTTCGACTTTGTATTTTCTCCAATAGATGCTGGAAAAATAAGCAAACATGTAGAAAACTATACGTAAAAATGGCGCGCATGTATGTATGCGCGCGCGCGCGCGCGTGTGTGTGTATATAATCAAATTAAATGTATAACAATTTATACTATTTAAATAATGATTTCAAACAGATTATAGTATAATTTCGTACCGGCAGAAGATATGCTGCTGATTTCATTACTGAACGAGTAACACCCGGCATATTAAGTATGCCGTGTTGCAAACATATTGCCGAAGATTTAATTTTCGATCCTATCAGTTTACATACACTTGCACACTCGTCGATTCCTGGTATAAGGAATATTTCACTCTCAGCAACTTTCCTCTCTGTAGCAAGTTTTACATAAATGTCTGGACTCAGTCTGAATCGTTAAGCTTTCGAGTCAACCTTTTTAAACCGTCCAAATCATTTACATCAACTTCGGTGTCATCTTTTTCGTAAATCTTTCCTTGTTCAGATGTATTTGTCAATTTTTTAAGTTTCGCAAAAGTGAGATTTCGAATATCTTTTGCTATCAATAAAATATCGAATTCCCTCTTCAATGTCTGTTTAATCTCCACTGCCATTATTGAATCCATGCCTAGCTCAGCCAGTGACATGTTTGGCATCGCCATATTTGGATTCTTTAATTCTATTTTAAAAATTAGAGAAAGAATTAAATATTTACACATGATTTTAATCGGATCTTATCTAATCTTGAAACTGCAATATAAGAATTTTTAAAATTTATATTTTTTGCAATAAAAATTTATTTTGTATAAGCAAATCTTTTACATAATATATACTTAATAAATTTACTCATAATGTTTACAACCGCTTCAAATGGATTCGTTGTTTCGCCAGAACTTTTTTTTTCAGCAACAACCATGCTGCTTACGATTGGCCGATCTTGTAGCAAGAACACTTCTAATGTGTCCAAGCAGGAAAATATTTTTTGTTGCGATGTACCACCAATAACAAGTTTTTTGTCATCTTCTTGCATATCTGCGACACTTCCTACGTCATCAATTGCGCTCCACTGTATAGCCAAACCATGTAAGCCTTCTTTCATTCTTCTTTCACAAATTCTTTCCATTACGAAATTTGCCATTCCGTAATTTCTTTGACCTGCGTTACCTCTTCCTTTTTTCTTCCGCATGAACCGGAAGAAAAAACGACAAAATGTCGGAGCTGGGGACAATTTGTTCTCGATAATTCGTCCATCCTTTTCGCCGTCCATGTCTTTGACATAAAGTAATCTTCGAATGTTTGTGGGGACTGATTCATGAATATGTTATCTTTCAGCACAACTGCGAGATTGAATATAGCATCCACGGGACCTAGTTCTTCGGCAAATTGTAATAAAGATTTACAGTCTTCGTATTTCGAAATATCAGTAGATGTAACGATTTGAACATTCACACCGTAAGATTGCCATAACGTTATTCTTGTGCGCTGATAACCGTTTTTTATCCCAGTTCGCGAAGTCAATAAATTTCTTGCGCCACGTAAAATTAACCAATCAGTTAATTCTAAACCGATACCACTCAAACCACCTATAATGATATAGGATTTGTGTTCCAGGCAGTAGTACCGTGGATGTGCAAGTATGGGTACATCCAGTTCATCTTCTTTTTGAACTATTATCATTATCTATAAATAATATTGTTATATATTTTGAAATGTCAGGAGAAGGAAATAAGAAAAACATATAAAAGATGAGAAGCTATTAGAAAAAATGAAGATTACAGATAAAAACCTGAGAATGAGTAAAATGTAATTGTACAATAAAAAAGAATAGAAAAAAATTTAAAAGAATTAATAAAAAAACCTTTAAAAAAAGGAGAGTTTTTCCAAACAAACGTAAAGAGGAAAGAAGCACAATGGATAACTTTTACATATTACAACATAATTAAGAAGATAGAATAGATACACTAAAAAAGCTGTTTAATTTTAAAATCTCTTGATAAGAATATTGAAAGTGAAAATGTTTGCGTCACAACTTACGTTCAATATTAAGTTTTAATTAAGGAAAATAGATAGAGATATTCTTAGCATAGAAATATTTTCATTTCAAAATATAAACAGGAAACAAGAGAGATTTTGATTTATATTAAATAATTATAATATTAAAGATAATACAATGAAAACAAAAACTGTATGCATTTTTTTGAGAATTTAATATTTCAATTCTAATTATACTTTCTCCATTGTACATACACTAAAAATGATCATACCTTTCCAATATGCTTTCTAGCAGTCATATATCTAAAAGCAGTTTCTATTTCATCCTTTTCGAAGACTTTTCTGCATAATGATTTAATGGCGCCATTCTTCAAGCCTTCCATTAACTTGTTCCGCAGTATTGCCTTCCTCTCTGGTTTTGCAGAAAAAAACTTACCCAAGAAAATGCCATGAAAACTAATGCCTTTTGAAAACGCAAATATTTCTAAAGGATTATTGCATATATTTATAAAGGATACTCCATATCAAACTTTCCAATCTCGAAAAAACGACCATCTTTTGCTAAGCAACGGATGGACGTTTGCAGTTTCTCTTCAGCTAAAGAATTCAGTACGATATCCACTCCGCGACCTCTCGTTCTCTGAATAATCATTTGATCGAAGCTCGTATCACGAGAATTTTCGATGTGATCCTCGGGAATAGAGGGAAACGTTTTTCTTATAAAGTCTTGTTTTTCGATACTTCCAACCGTCGTAAAAACTTCTTAACCCTCGTAAAGAGCAAGATGAATAGCAGCTTGACCAACACCTCCCGTACCACAGTAAATCAACACTTTATCATCTTTTTTGATTTTACCCCTCAAATACAAAGCGTAATAACACGTGTTATATACAATACACAAGGAACCGTCGCAACGTTCCATCGTCCACATGTCGGGTATGATCCAACTACTTGTAAGATATTTGTCAGTTGTGAGAATATTTGTCATTCCTCTGAAAATAATAGAATTTAGAAAATCATATAAAAATATATTATGTTAAAATTAAGTCGAAGGAATATTTTTTAAATATTTTTTAAATATTTTTTGTGAATAATATGTTAAGAATGAAAAGAATCATGTAAAATATAGCAACTTTTTCATTTCTTATTTCATCAAAAATGTTTCTAATTTAAATATAAGAAATATATATCATTTATTTTTACTAAAAATATATTCACATACATATATTAAGATTCTATGCACATACATATTAAGAGTCTATGAAGTTTTTATCTGATATTCACTTACCCTGAACATAATTACACTTACCCTTGAACATAATCTCATTATTCTTTGCCCAGTTTTATTAAAACCAGCAAATTCCATTCCAATTAAAGAATTATTATTTCGTTCGGTTGTAATAGATTCGGTGGTGAGTCTACCGCTAGCTATCATGACATCTTTAAAATTGATAGATGCATAGACTACTCTAGACTACTCTAGATTTTCCTCATTATTGTTGACGAAAGACCTACTTTGCATCCAACAGAGAGTACTCAGATCACTTCGCACCAAAAATTAATAAATACAAGTTATTTTAAGCCTCTTATAGTTACATTAAGAAAAACTATTACTTAATTTATGAAGGAAAGTATCACAAATTATCACTATTCCAATTTCCTGGATTCCGAATGTTTTTGAAATCGTACCATTTGAGAAACATAAGCACTCTCTACGAATTTCGGTTCTAATAATGATAATGGAAAGTGTCTGTAGGATCCCCAAATGCCAGAACGTATAACATTAATGGGTAAATCCAGTTGTAGCTGCCTCATGTATAATGATTCTTGCAATGAAAAAGCAGGCGCATCTTCATCTTGAATAAATACACTTCGAATCATTTCACCACTCGGTTCTTTTCGCAAACAATTGACAAGGCCAAGTAGACCGCATTCAAAATCTCCTTCTGCGACGATTATAATCCTCGTATTTGTGTCGTCATTTTCCACGTTCATGAATGATTTAATCTTATTTATCCATGAGAATTCGTAATTGTTTACATGCACAATCTGCTGATTTGTCTTAAAATCTTGTATTTTTTAAAATAATATAATTGTATTATCGTTAATGCGTTTTTCCAAAATTACTTTTAATCCATATTTGTTCAGACATGAATAATAGTAAATGGCATCTAACTCTTCCAATGTTAGAAGAAATCCCATTGGCATTATGGCAGACAATAATTGTTCGTATAAATCGTTTCTATTTTTTGTTAAAATTCCGTAACCTATGATCATCAAACAATTTTCATTTTTTGTTAGTTTTTCAAATTCCATCGTAGAAATATCGTAGGGCAAAGAATATATCTTTGAATCGTTCGTTGATCGTTACTATTTTGATATTGAAACAAATATGCGGTCGTCTAAAATTTTATAAACATGTAAAGAATTTAAATTCTCCGGCTTCGCTTGATCGCTATTTTCGATAAATTTAAAAATTTTCACGTTTATCATGTTGTAGCACTCAGGCTTGCGACCTGAAACGAGATCCATAATTGTTTCATTTTACATAGATTATCGACTTTCACACGAAGCAAGATTCGTTTCTATTTCAAAGTATAGTCCTAGATCCAAAATATTTTTGAATTCTAATATTTCTTTCTAAATGGAAATTTTAAATATTATTCATTTAAGAAGAGATAATTAAAATTAAAATATAAAAAATAAAAGTTTCTATACATTCGATCTTATAGCATTCGACTTTATTTAGTACTATATGCTTTTAAAAGTTCATCGAATTGTGAAAGTGAGTCGCATATGGAAATCCTATCAAAAGATTTTAAGATGGGATTCTGTGAGCAATCCAGTATCAGTCTGCTCTTAATTGTGGATGTGTATGTGCGCAATAATGTCATGGGTGCAATCGTACTTTCGTTTCTTTATTCTTTTCGTGTATGCAATAATGCATGTATGCATGTAGGCAATCGGAAATGTAGGTAACTGAAGCTCTCACTATTTAATTTACAAACGGAAATTCTATTTCATGTTTTATAATGAGATTCTATGTTATGTTTCATAACGAGAGGATGTTTTTAACGAAGAATAAATTCCAGCCGGCCTTCAACCGTGGAAATGAAGTAGAGTAGAAACTAAATACCAATCATTGTATACAATTTACAAGTTAAATGAATAAATATAAATTAATTTTAATGAAAATGTCCGTATAGCATTATTAATGGTCAAATACACGACAGATCTGATATGTATTTATGTCAGAAACTTAAATATTTTAAGTAACCAATAGATTTAATAAATTACAGAAAATTAACTTAGCTATGATATCTCTAAATTGCAATCTTTCGAGCATATATTTTAGCAATACATTAATTAAAATAGCAAAAATAAAAATAATAATGAGATGAAAATCAAACAAATCAACAAATTTAGAATACATTTTTTATTGTTTGACAGTAGAAATTATGATTTCTTAATTATATTATGTTTATTAACTTTCTCAGCAAAATACAAGCTTAATGCAGTATCAATATACTGCAATTTTTGCTCAAATTTGCTGCTACTTTATTGTTAAACTGTTAATAATTTATTTATTAGATACAAATCTTTTCGTAATTTATTTTTTTCAAATGAATCTTTTCACTTATTCATATTTTGTTTTAAAAAACTTTTATCTTTTTATATATCTAGACTATAAAATTATTTTAATTGTACAAGTTACCTTTTTGGATCATAAAAATTAAATCGACTGGATTTTGCTTCGACAGAATTGTAGAACGTATAAAATTGACATTTTCAAATACAATTGGAACATCGAGATAATTTTGCTTTTTTAACCAGCCGATTACTACTGCCACATCAGGAAAAGATATCCTGCAGCCGGAAAGAAATTTCTTCCATTAACGACATGCCCGGTCATATATGTAAAATCTTCCTTGAGTAAATTAATGGTAACAATTGCTTCCCCAATGTCAAGTTTTCTTTGTCCGAAATAATAGTATACATACCAATCTTCGGAATGATCCCATCTATAAAACGTGTTATTAATTTGAAAATATATAAAACATTAGCCTTATTAGCGTTTAACATCATTAAAAATAATGCAAATTTAATTTTCCGTTTATTTTTAATTCTGCTATTTTTTTGTAATAAACATAACGTTGAAGAATCTTATGTTAAATTAAGCAAAATTTATCTTATAAGATGAGAAATCATAGGTGTATTACAACTCACAGGAAACTTAACTTTCGGATATAAATTTCCGGCTGTAATCCTGCATTATAAAGTTTTCCAATTCCGTGTAAGAATATCTCAACGTTTGGATTGGGAGAGAATTTGTATAACGCGACATTTGTCACAGTTGTATTTAACGAATCATTAAGAATGTATTGTAGAATGTCCTGCGGCGTTATCTCAATCGTCACCGCGTCGTTTGGAATATAACGCATAGCTTCCGAAAACACTAATAGTCTATTTGTATAATATTTTGCTAGATACGAGATATTTGGAAATGTGCTGAACCATTCATAGGATTTGTTCAACATGTTCAATCACTTTGAGCTCGGAGAGGCTTTCTGTGGCAATATCTGATTCAGGTATTCCAAAAGTTTAATTCTCACAGGCTCAATGTAACGACTATGAAAAGGTATATGCCCAGAGGAAATTTCTTTTACAGAGATGTTGTCATTCTAAACAGAAATAAATTTTTTTAAATAAATTTATTTATTTCAACGTAATTATAAGCATAGATATGTTATTTGAACTTTTTATGTGTTTCCAAACCTGTAGCTTAGCGAGGAATGCTCTCACAGAGCTTGTTGGTCCACTGACAATATAATATATGCGAACTATTGTAACAAGCCACATCGATATCCAATGGACACATATTCTTGACAGTTTTATAATCTAAATTAATTTCAGCCATTAAGCCGTCTATTATTTTTGACTCAAGAAATGTTAAACCGACATAATAAGCCAACATGATTCTTCAGCCGTCAAGCATCCATCAACCATATCCACAAACCAATTCGCCAATAGAATGACCCATTATAACATCAGGAATGATATCAATACTTATTAGGAGATCAATTATTCCGATCTGTAATATACGTAATTTTTTTTATATATTTTAACACTTTCTATTTTTCTTTCAAATAAAATAATATTTTAAAATATTACTATAAATTTAACTTTCTGCATACAATTATGTAACATATAAAAGGCTCTTTTCAATTTCCATTCTTTTACAAGAATTTTGAGTTTTTTATGAAATGCTGATTTTTTTAAAGATATGGCGTTTTATATATAGATATATAAATATATAGATGATATATTTTTGTTCATACCTGTAATCCAATAAGGCTTACAAATAAGTTGAGCACATTATCGAGAATATATTTGTTTTTATCTATTAGAATATCTGTGACAGATATACCAAAAGGTTTCTGTTGGAGATAAGATCATCGAGCGCATTGTTATATGTTATTGTCTTAATAATATAGCTTATATCCGAATGATGGCGCGGAAGATATGCACGTTTATCTTTTCTAATGTCCATCTAGTATCTTTTATGTTACTGTTCTTCTCTGTGCTTTTCCCTCGCTATTCCGCGCGACATGTGTATGTTCAAATCTTTCTCTTAATAAAGTTATTATATTAAACGTGATCATTAATGGGCTTCAATTAAACTTGTGTTCTCGAATTTCCACGTCAAACCTCGCAATTCCCATCAGGTTATGGACCCAGGATACGTATCGGATCTGTGTATCGTGTGAAAGAAAAGTTATCGTCTCAAAAATCAAGATGTCCGCAGCACATGGGATCCAGACCATTGAAAAATTAACCGAAGAAAATTACGAATCATGGAAGATTCAAATGAGAAGTGTGCTGGTATGTAATGACATGTGGGACTACGTAAATGGTACTGTACCGAGAACCGCTGAAAATACAGCGATGTGGACAGTAAAAGATCAGAAAGCCCTGGCATTAATAGTATTAAGCGTGTCGCGTGGGCAATTAAATCATGTAAAAAGAGCCGAAACATCGGAAGCTGCGTGGAACGAACTCAAGCGTGTTCACGAATCGAAAGGACCGGTAAGAAAAGCCACGCTTTATAAACAATTATATCGTATGAGAAAAGAATCAGAAATCTCTATGAACGCGTACATAAATGATTTTACTAATAAAGCCGAACAATTAACCGAAGCAGGAATCAAGATACCGGACGATCTCCTGTCGATAATGTTGCTATCTTCACTACCTGATGATTTCGAAAATTTTAGTATAGCCATAGAATCTCGCGACGAAATTCCAAATATCGACAGTCTAAAAGTAAAATTACTAGAAGAAGAGGCGCGCCAAAACGACCGTGCGGGAAGGAACGATCCGGAAAAAGGACAGAATAGTGACGCGTTAATTTCTCGTGCACATGGTCGCGACAAA